CTCGCCCTCCGCCACTCGCCCTCCGCCACTCGCCCTCCGCCACTCGCCCTCCGTCACTCGCCCTTCTCCACTCGCCCTCGCCACTCACTTCGCGTCACTAGCTACTTGCCCCTCGCCACTCCTAGCTGGGATAGTACCCCGTTGGTAAACATTTCTGGAGGAAGAAATCCTCCAGGAAAGTGACGTTTAGGTTAGCGCCGGATCTCTGCATCCAGCCAGGAAGGAACACTGCCCCTCCCGTGATAAAACATCCATTGCACAAAGCAGACTGCTGACCGAGGCAGTTGTCGCCTCCGCTAACGTCAATCAACAAATGAATTTCCTCTCGCAGGGAAATGGCGAGTGCATATATATCAGCCGCTCCTGCCATCTGAAGCGATATTCTGCGAAATGTGTGAAGACCGAGTTCGTAGCCGGCTCATAATGATTGAGTCGTTGATTGGTTTTTGTTAATGGACGTCCGAATTGCTGCGGTGTGTAGTTTCGTGTGGCGCTTATTGTGTGGCTGAGGACGACCGAATAATTCACTTCGTATCGCTTTGATACCGCGCACTACAAGAGAATCCTTAACGACGCTTTTCAAACACGCGAAAGAAGTCCTGCTTCGTAAGTTTGACTCCATGGTGATCGGTTTTTTTTTATCAGCCCTTTCCTACTTGTTTGGCCATAGAGGGCATACACTACGTTTTTCGAACAAAGAGCACCAACTTCGACTTTCAAAATCGTTTTTCACTTGCGGTAGATTACCCCGTATTTGATTTACAAACGATGCCGTACCTTCAGGACTTATATTGATATTCTGAGAAATAATTTACGTATTCTATATCTATAAACGGCGATAGCAGCGTAAGAAGATATCCTAATGGCGACCGGTAGTGAAAACCAGCTGTGTGCTATTAGCAGGCCTCCGTGGAGTGCACAGCCTCAAGAAGAAAAAGAAGAAGATAAGAAAGATAAATAGGGAATAAAAAGGAAAAAATAAAGGAACATAAAGAAAAGAAGAAATGGTAAAAGTAAAAGAGAATTAGTAACAGAAAATAAGAAATAGAAAAAGAGAAAGAACAAAAAAAGAAAAGTGGAGTTAGAAGGAAGAGTGTGAAATGTAAGATGGAGGAACATAATTTGATAATAATAAACAGAAAAGAAGAAAGAAACAAAAAGAAACGAAGTAATTAAAAAATAAAAAGAAACAATAAAAATAGAAAATAGTTTTAGAGAGAGGTTCGTAAAATGAGCATATAATGTAAGAAGAAAGAGCAAGACAAATGGAGAATAAAACCAGAAAAGAAGAAATGGACAGAGAAAAAGATGCAAAAAAGAAGAAGCGTAAACGTGATGTTAGAAGGAGGAGTGTCAACAGAGCGTGTAATGTAAGAGGAATGAGTAAGACAAACGGAGAGTAGAAAGGAGAAAAGAAGAATTGAAAAAGAGGCAAAAGAGAAGGAAAGTGGCGTCGGGCGGAGCGAGGCCTGCGCCGGCCGAAGTGAGCGTGTGCGCTGTGATGTGGCAACGGCCCCTGCAGCAGTGCGGCGTGGAGTCCCCTCGCGCGGTGGCCTTGTCTACAATTGAGCACCGCCGCCGCCACGGCGTCCCCCTCCGCGTGTTTTTTGGGGGCCCCGCACCCACCGCCCCCG